ATTGAGAATACCATGGACTGCTAGGAAAACAAACAGATTCATCCTGGAAAGGGTTAAACCTGGTGGCTCCTTGGAGGCAAGGATTCTGAGGTTCCGTCTAACATACTGTGGACATGTTGTGAGGAGAGACCGATCCTTGGAGAAGGACATCATGCTTGGGAGGGTGGAGGGACAGCGCAGGAGGGGAAGGCCCTCTATGTGGTGGATTGATTCAGTGACTGGGATAATCGGGATGGAGTGTTGGAGACAGTGTGATTGGCACAAGACAGAGCAGAGTTTAGGGCTGTTGTACATAGGGTCGCTATGAGTCGCAAGCGACTCTATGGCACATAACAACAACAACAACAACAACCAGGTTATAATCATTAGAAGCATACTATCTTTTGCATGGTGATTAAGATTTTTCTTAGCCTTTATGAATATGAAGGATACTCATTGCCATTGAGTTGATTCTACTCATAGCATCCCCATTAGACAGAGTTCAACTATACCAAAGAGTTTCCTTGGTTGTGTTCTTTCCAGAAGCTGATGGCCACACCTTTCTCCCTGGAAATAGATAATGGATTTGAACCACCAGTGTTTTGGTTAGCAGACAACCACTTTTCTCTTTTTTTTTTCCTCCAAAACAAAATTTAAAGATCAAATACTAAGATTATTAAAAATTCTTATATCATGCACACCCATGTTTATTGCGGCTTTGTTCACAACAGCAAAGAGTTGGAAATAACTCAAGTGTCCATCAATAAAGAAATGGTATATTCACACAATGAAATACTATACTGCATTGAAAAACAAAGAACTCATGAAATATACAAAGTAGATGACCCTGGAGGATATTATGCCGAGTGAAATAGCTCAGTCACAAAAGGACAAATATTGCAGAGTGCCACTGTTGATCAAAAATTATTTTACTTTTTTTGTTTTTCTGAAAATCACTAACCTACATACTGGACTTGCTTATCTAGGTATCTGCAAACACGGAAGATTCTTCTATGAGTGGCTACTTGTACAGATCAAAGGGCAATAAAAAACCTTGGAAACACTTGTGGTTTGTCATAAAAAATAAAGTGCTGTACACATACGCTGCAAGTGAGGTAAGGTGCAGAATAGAATGATTTTGGGGTCTTGTTTTATAATGCCAACTGGAAATAAAATATCAGTATAGTTTTGTGAGACTATATTTGTTTTGTATATATTTTTACTTTAGAAGAGGGGAATTTTTGCTGCTGTTATTTTTAGCATAAACAGTATTCTTGTTTTGACCTGATTCAAATGTGTATTTTTTTTCCTAATGTGTTAATAATCCAAAGTATTAGAATACAAGCATTTTTGGTGTCATGTGACTATTAAGGATTTTGGTAAAACTTAAGGCTTCTTTGTCATACTTTCTTGAGTAACATGCCTTTCACTCTTCCCTAGTCTCCATTGGCCAAGCACCAGTACAGATAGGCATTGTGTGGCTTATGAACACTTTCTGGCTATTTGCTGTAATTCTACCCATTTTTTTTATCTCATTCTGCTTATGTATTCAACATTCTGTGAAAACCACAGCATTATGTTCCAAACTTTGTCTTACTACAACCTGGGGGAGATAGCTCACCCTTCTGAGCTATATTCTCTGAATCCATAAAATAGTAATACAAAGTCTGTCTCCCAGAGTTACATTAACAACCTAAGGAATTCACTGAGTAGATTGCAAAACATCCTACGTGGCAAAGGCCTGGCTCAATAAAGATTGTTGAATAAGTGAAGAATTAATGTTATTTTCAGTGTCTTAAATGCATGTCCTTAAATGTAATTAGAGCTGCAGAGATGAAGCATTCTCACATATGAATTTTGCCCTCCTCTGAAGGCCATCTCCATTGTGTGTATTTTCTCATTAGGACGTGGCAGCTTTGGAGAGCCAGCCTTTGTTAGGATTCACTGTCTCTAAAGTCAAAGATGAGAACTCGGAGTCTAAAGTATTTCAGTTGCTGCACAAAAACATGCTATTTTATGTATTCAAAGCAGAAGATGCTCACTCAGCTCAGAAGTAAGTAACTTGGGACTATTTCTTTTATACATGAGATTTCAAGTTGATCCTTTAAAGAATTTAAACTAGAGCTCTGTTTTTGAGAAGAGTTGTTTTTAAAACCAGACATGGGTGTCAGATACTTTCTGGAGGCAGAGAGGAAAAGAAAATAGGTAATCTTGTCCAAAGGCCATTATTGTCTATGCATGACTTTAGAGGAAGCAGCGTGATGCTGCTCTGCTGAAAGGAAGGGGAGCTGAGGTATTTGACCTCCTGCAATGAGGGTAAGAATCTTCCCTTGAAACATTCCAGGACTTTGGCAATCCAGTGTTTCAATTGTGCCATGGAACAGCAGGAGTTTAAACAGCTGCTTGCTAACTTTCTTCTTTGGGGAAAAGGTCAAACACATTAAGAGGCTCCCTTGCTGATGACTGAGTAGAAGGAAATGGAAGTCATTTTGGATGGGAGAGACTGAACGGTCTCTTTAAGATTCCAAAGATATTTATTTAGATGTCATGGGATTGCTTAACATAGAGGGCCATATCTCTGTTGGGTCGAGGTATTTTATGAACAAAACCTCTTTCATTTTAATTCTCTTTTCGCCTTACAAAATATGCATTCTTTGTTTCAGCAAGAGGTACATATAATTTTCCATTGGAATGAAAATTGTAGAGAAGTTTGTTGTTTTGCATGTGGCTAGGTTTTACATTTTTTAGGCAGTTTGAATTAATTACCAGCCTATGTCTTTGAATATCAGGCAGCTAAGTGTTATATTTTATGAGACTTTTTTAAAGTTTTAAGTTAGGATAACCCATTGCCATCAATTCGGAACTAACTTGTACCTGACTCTCCAGTGGAGTTTCTGAAGAATACAATTGCTCCTGCATGTAATTCCTTCAGGGGTACTGAAGACTGTTTTTCTATTTTGTCTCTTAATAACACATTATTCTTCTCTTGCCTTTTATTTATATTCATCATCATACTGATGACCAATTAAATGGGAGCATCAGGGGTTCATGAGGCTTTTACATGAAATAGCCCCTTTCCTGCTCCTCACAGATATAAGAGAAACACTCTAGTAGTGGTGGACCACATAACCCAATAAGAGGTAGTTCCATTATTCAGAATTGTAGAGAGCGCTCTGGTGCCAAGGAATTGTGCTGCCAACTCAAAGGCATGCAGTTCGAATCCACCTGCTGTTTCATGTGATGGGCAGTGTCCTTCTGGGCGATTTAAGCCTCTGAAAAATCCACTGGTGGGAGCGCTGGTGGCTTAGTAGTGAGGAATTGTCACCAATACAGAGAGTTAGAATCCATCAGCTGCTGCAAGGGACAAAGAGGGGCAGTCTCTTCCTATACAATTTACTGCCTCTGAAAACCCGCTGGCTGGTCAGCTAGGGATGGGTTCTGACTTGACATTACAGAAAAACATACAGAATTGTAGCTTATAATAGGAAAGATCTTTTATATACTGTTCTGGTAACCAACCACTGACTCAGCTATTAACTCTAATTTTTTTTCATATATCCATCCGATTTTACAAATCTAATCGATCTCTTTTAATTAATAGGTGGATAGAAGCATTTCAGGAAGGCACGATATTGTAGCAGTATCAGTTTCATCTCGTCAGCAATTCCAAATGGATGAAATTTCATCAAAACAGAGTAAAAGCAACAGAAAAATTTTATAAAATGAAACATTGCCAGGATTAATCCAGCCAAGCTGTCAGTTTGGTCTATAAAATTACTTTTCTAGGTATAAGGTATTTTTTTTAGGTGTTTATTTTTTTCATATATGTTATTTATTAACTAACACCTTGTGTGTTTACTGATTGGTCAGAATTATTTCTGAGACTCACACTGAATTCTAAATTACCTTTTCTTTGAAGACCTGAAATCTTCCTTAAATATACTGTATTATCTTTTTTTTACACAGTCAACACCGTTTTTCTACCTTACATTGTAACATTCTTACATGTGGTAAATCTTTGTAAATAAAAAACATAGCAAGGGTCAAATTTCCATGCTGTGTGGTTCAAAAATGATGGTTATTATAAAACTATTGGTGAAAAATATACATGTCTTTGAATCAGTTCAATAGATTTAGATAAATTTTTCTACCTTTTAATGGAAAAAAACATGACCTGCTTCTACCTCAATGACTGTGAAATGAAATTCCAGTATATTATCTAAAGTTTTTCTAGTGTTATGTACCTCGTTTGGCCAGGGTAAATGTTAACATCATCAGGAAACTTTCGCAAAGGTATAGAAACTGAATGTACTTTTTACTGAATTGTGAAAAAGAATGAGGATGTTTTCATTTGCTGAGAAAACTCTACAGGCTTAAAAAACGGAGCTCTGGTTGTCGCAGTGGTCAAGGATTTAGCTGCTGAACCGAAAGCTTGGCAGTGTAAGCCCACCCAGGGTTCCATGAGAGAAAGACGTGGGAGGCTGCTCCTGCAGTGATTCCAGTCTCCGGTACCCTATGAGGCAGCTCCGCTCTGTCACATTGCATCAACGTTGACTTGCCAATAAGTGCTGACAATAACATGGGCTTTTATAGTCACCAAACTCAACACATACATGAAAGTATTTTTATAAGCAAAATATGGCAACATTCTATTACTAATACCTCCTGCAACGGAAGAGTTCTGAATCCAAGTCAGTAGTGGATTTGTATGTAAAAGGAATGTTACATTTCCTGTAATATTTTGTTTTTTAAAAAATAAACTGGAATTGCCATATCAGTGAAGCACAAATTCTAAGCCAGTATTAAATGAAATTGTATAATACTCATTTTTTAACTATTTTTATACTCTTTTGTGATTGTCCTCCCAGGTCATGAAAAAAAAAAACCCCAAAACCAAAAGAAAAATCCTTCATTACTTTGACCAGCTGTCATTGTGCCATGTTAGGAAAGATTTCTAACTCTAATTTATGTGCTTATTGTTGAACATATGAACTACCCTGTACATGAAATTATTGGTTGGCAAAATAAAAATGAATAAACACTATGATTAAAGTTATTCCTTATGTTTATATAGCAGGTTTTCCCTGCTATCCAAAAGCAGAACGTCCCTATGAACACTCTTGTTAAGCCTAAATGGCATAAAACAAAGAAGCCATTGCCATCTATTTCTATAAGAAATATTTTATAATAAATAAACACATTAAAAAAGAAATATCTGTGAGTATTCACAGACCCCCAAAAATAACCTACTAAATCACACCAATCATAACTTACTTATCTAGTGTTACTATAACAGAAATACCCCAAGCAGATGGCTTTTACAAACATAAAATTATGTGTTCATAATTTAGAAGGCTAGCCATTCAAATTCAGGATGCCAGCTCTAGGGAGTCTTCCTCCCGACCCCCAGCTCTAGAGGAAGGTCTATTCTTTGTACATCTGTGAGCCTGTGTTCCCTGGAGATCCACCCGTGTTTGTATTAATGTTCCCTTGGATCTGGGGGTTCTCTGTGTAGGGATCTTGGAGCCAAACACACTCTGCTCTTGGTTCTTCTTTCTTGGTGGTAGGACCTGCCTTCTGATGGCTTCTCTCTCCTTTTATCTGTTGTTTTTTTAAAAAGGAAACTCCCCTTACAGTGGATCAGGGCTGTGAGCTGAGTAAGAGTATTTGCATCCCGCCCTAATCCTTCCTCATTACACAACAAACCAAATCTAGTATTTATCAAATCCAATCTTGCCTTATTACCTGTCTTAGATCTCTTAAAGCTCAGACCTAAGTAATACCTTAGGACATATCTTGCTAGTAGATGCAGAAATAAAGCAAGATGAGATGCTCGCAAATAAAGATCAAAATTAGTTTAAATAGTTCTGCCACTGGAAAAACCAATCTTGGAGACAAAGGTTGGAGTGAAAAAAAGCAGTTTAATTATATACCTTTCAGTATATAGAAGGGAGTTCTGGTGGCCTCGTGGGTAATGAGTTGCACTGTCAAACCAAAGGTAAACTGTTCAGATCCATCAGCTGCGTGAGTGACCATATAGGAGATGGGATGTGAGCTGCCCAAGTCTCTCTCAGCAAGGGAAGATTCTGAGAGTTGAAGCTAAGCCAAGGGAGTGGGAAGAGCTCATGTTTATTCAGCACAAAGAACCTTTCCCAAGAGACAAGACAGAAATCCTGAGTAAATATGAGGGAAAGGAGGGGGTTTTCTCTCAAAAAGGAATGAATATGCTAATCAGTAGTCCTCCCCACAACTGGCCTCCTAGATGGTGTCTTTCCAGTTAATTGTTTAGTCATCATAGGACATACACTCCCTCTAGGTTTCCCTCTTTCAAGATGTTGCCCTCTAGAAGGTCTGAGTCACTTGCATGGCACCTGGAGTCACTGAGGTGACTAGGACTTACAGTGACCCTGTGAACAAGAGGGCTGAATCTCGCCCTATTCCACACCATCCTCATCTACGTGCTTGGCTCCACTGGCACAGTCCTTGTGTCAATCCATATTGTTTGGGGTCTTCCTTTTTCTCTAACCCTCCACCTTTCCTTGCATGATGTCTTTTTCTAAGGACTTGCCCCTCTTGACAACATATCAGAAGTATGTAAGATGAAGTTTTGCCATCCTTAACTCTGAGGAGTGCCCAACTCTGAGGAGTGCCCTGGTTTGCACTTCATCCAAGACAGATGCATATGTTCTTCTGGAGTGGGGGTTTGGGGGCAGTCTGTGGGATATTTAGTACTCTTAACACCGTAATTCATATGCACAGATTCTTCTGTATTCCTTATTCTCTGTCTAGTTTTCAGATGCAGAGGAAGCAACTGAAAATATCATGGCTTGGGTCAGGCATATTTTAGTCTTTTAACAGATATTGTTGCTTTTTAGCACTTTGACAGCAAATTTTCCCCACTGCAGTTTGTCTTTTGCTTCTTGACTGCTGTTACTATGAATATTGACTATCCAAGTAAAATGAAATCACTGACAGCTTTAATCTTCCCTCCATCTATTAGGATATTGTCTTTTAGTGCAGTGGAAAGCTTGACTAGGAATGCTTTTAGCAGAATTAGGGATTATTAACAGGGAGTACCTGAGTGCCTAGGTCTTCAGGCATTTAGGGTGTGTTCCTGGGCTTCCTTTTTCTAAACTGGCTCAAGTAAAAATACTTTGATTCTGCACAGCATGTAAAAAGGAAAGTGAAAAGAGGGAATTCTGTGATTCAGAGCAAACCTAGAAGTAATTCATGGAAAGGCTATCTTTGACATAACGTCAGAGGGTCCTAATGCTTAAGTTAACAGAGAGTAATGCTGAGATAACAAATTGCAGTGTGGAAAGGCAAACCTCAAATATCTACAGAAGATTTCAACTCAATAAGGGATCTTCCTCAGAAATGCCCTTCTAGGCTAAGAGGAGGGAACTCTGGTGACCTCGTGGGTAAGGAGTTGAGCTGCCAACGCAAAGGCAGGTTCAACTCCACCAGCAGCTCTTGAGGGAGGAAGACAGTCTCCTCCTATGCCAGTTGTTGTTGTTGTTGTTATGTGCCGTCGAGTAGTTTCCGACTCATAGCGACCCTATGCACAACAGCCCTAAACTCTGCTCTATCCTGCGCCAACCGCAACGCCTCTGACACACCCATCCTGAATACCCCAGTCACTGAATCAATCCATCTCATAGAGGGTCTTCCCCTCCTGCGTTGTCCCTCAACCCTCCCAAGCATGATGTCCTTCTCCAAGGACCCGT